AAATTGTGTAGGTTTTGGTTTAAAATATTAACATCCTTGACGAAATATAAAATTGTGTAGGTTTTGGTTTAAAATATTAACATCCTTGACGTAATATAAAATTGTGTAGGTTTTGGTTTAAAACATTAACATCTTTGACGAAATACAAAATTGTGTAGGTTTTGGTTTAAAATATTAACATCCTTGACGAAATATAAAATTGTGTAGGTTTTGGTTTAAAATATTAACATCCTTGACGGAATATAAAATTGTGTAGGTTTTGGTTTAAAATATTAACATCCTTGATGAAATATAAAATTGTGTAGGTTTTGATTTAAAATATTAACATCCTTGACGGAATATAAAATTGTGTAGGTTTTGATTTAAAATATTAACATCCTTGATGAAATATAAAATTGTGTAGGTTTTGATTTAAAATATCAACATCCTTGAAGAAATATAAAATTGTGTAGGTTTTGATTTAAAATATTAACATCCTTGACGAAATCAGAAATTGTGTAGGTTTTGATTTAAAATATTAACAACCTTGACGAAATATAAAATTGTGTAGGTTTTGGTTTAAAATATTAACAACCTTCATGAAATATAAAATATTAATAGTCTTCACGAAATATTAAAGTATTAAGAGTAAGAGAGTGTCGTCGTAATTTTAAGTAACCTTCCATTTAAAAAGAGGGACCCGTGCGATTGACAAAGGTACCCATAACACTTTATTTGGTCAATAACGAAAAATATTATTGTTTTCAAACCGTAAAAGTGTTCTTGTTCTTGTTACCTTCAACTGTTCATATTTTTATAAAGAACCCACGATAGAAAATAATCCTTAAAGAAGTTACGAGTACAGTCCCTTTAATAATAATATCAAATTTTTAATTTAATCAGATTTTGACGAGAATTTTAAAATTTCTTTGAATTTTAAAATTTATATTTTAGTTTCAAAATTTAGATTAAAAGTTTTGATAAGTTTAAAATGTGTTGTTGCTTTTACAGGTTTAAAAAGTACATATATGATATTGATATAATCGAAGACGATGATATTGATATAATCGAAGACGATGATATTGATATAATCGAAGACGATGATATTGATATAATTGAAGACGATGATATTGATATAATCGAAGAAGATGATATTGATATAATCGAAGACGATGATATTGATATAATCGAAGACGATGATATTGATATAATCGAAGACGATGATATTGATATAATCGAAGACAATGATATTGATATACTTGAAGACGATGATATTGATATACTCAAAGACGATGATATTGATATACTCGAAGACGATGATATTTATATACTCGAAGACGATAATATTGATATACTCGAAGACATTGATATTGATATACTCGAAGACGATGATATTGATATACTCGAAGACGATGATATTGATATAATCGAAGACGATGATATTGATATACTCGAAGACGATGATATTGATATACTCGAAGACGATGATATTGATATACTCAAAGACGATGATATTGATATAATCAAAGACGATGATATTGATATACTCTAAGACGATGATATTGATATACTCGAAGACGATGTATTGATATACTCGAAGACGATGATATTGATATACTCGAAGACGATGATATTGATATAATCGAAGACGATGATATTGATATAATCGAAGACGTAAACAATTTACTAAGCCTATATGTTTCTGTTCAATCAAATACGAAAAAGGAAGAGGGAGAAGGTAAAATTCATGCAACATTCAGGGGCGTACGAGGGGGATTACGCAGAAGGGAGACAATAGGTTGAATAGTTTTGATTTTACGCAGAAGGGAGACAATAGGTTGAAAAGTTTTGTTTTTCTCCAGAACTCTGCAGTCAGTTTAGTTATGATTGAAAATATATAAGATCTAAATCTTTTTTTTACTTAAATTTGACGTGTATGAAATTTAAAAATCTAGCTATATAATATACTTTTTTATTAAGGAAATACTGTAAGAAATGTCGGTATAAGAAATGCTTGGATTCTGGAATGAAACCGGAATTAGTTGATGCTTCATTGAGGAACAGAGAAGCAGACATTAAATCTGTCAAAGGTAAAATAGGAACATAAAACCAGACATTAAATCTGTCTAAAGTAGGATAGAAACAGAGAAGCAGACGATAAATCTGTCAAAGGTACAATTGTAGGAACATAATAAATCTGTTAAAGGTAAAATAGGAACATAAAACCAGACATTAAATCTCTTAAAGGATAAATAGGAACATAAAACCAGTCATTAAATCTGTTTAACGTAAAATTGGAAGAGAGAAGCTGAAATAGGGAAAATGATTATTTTTAGGGATAATTAATAAATCTCTAAGTTTAAAATATCAAAGGAACTGAAAAAAACTTGCATTTTGATTTCCAATTTTTATTTTTTCCCAAAATCATGCAAAATATTCCCCCTCTTCCTCTAGCGTATTAGGATGAACCATCGAGAGGTAAACCCAGGTTATAATGCAAGGAAAGTTATTTCAGAGGTGTATGCATGTTTTGTACTTCAGTGTACTGTCTCTGGGCGGTAATGTAAACACAAGACGGATGTCGCAGCCTGACATGGGATCCATCTTTCACATAAAATATTTATGAAATATTCTGGTCAAAGGAAACTATTATATGAATTATCAAAATTATCAAAATTAAATGCTTTTATCCTCCACGGATACTAAACAAACACTGATGCAAACATCTATTCTTGCTTACAAATTCCAACCAGAGAGAACTGGTTTCAATATATACGCAGAGCATACGCAACTGCAAATAACTTTCCTTGCATTAAAACCTTGGGGTAAATAATCTATTTGATCGTGCTCAAGTGGGCCGCTGCTCAGATTAGGATAAATGCAATTAACATAAAGTTGTAGACAAAAGCAGGTTTAATTTATGCGACATAATGGTCACACTCTCTTAGCTCTTCTAATTTTGATTTTAAGCACACATTTTAATCAAAGGATAAAATTATATAAGATTTTTATATTTACTTTAATTCCTATATTTACTTTAATTTGAATTGTTATGAGGGGGAGGGATATTTTAAAGTATAAAGTGAATTCGATTTGATTCGTTAAAATCTTTTGAAATAAAATTTTTATGTTTAGATAAATCTTGTAATGCAAAATATTGCTTTTAAGAATTATCTAAATTTTTAAAAAAAATCAACAAAAACGGTATTTCTTAAATTGAGATTTTAACAAATCAAATAGAATTCATTTTAGAATTAGTTTTCTTGATATCTTCAATTTTTCCCAAAAGTATTAGTGTAAAATTTGTACTGTTTAGCGGAGGCTTGGTGCTGCATAGCAAATCTGGGAGACTTATGGCCTAGTTATGTATAAAATGATAATTGTTTTCAGGTCAGACAGTTGCCTATCAAGATGACGCTTCTCAAGGTTAATCCAAGTTTTTTTAGTTTAAAAGTTTTAAAGTTAAATGTTGAATTAAAATATTAAATAAACAAGTGTAAAAACAGAAAATAAAGAACACATAGAATTGCACTTATTTTACTGTAAGATAAGCACTTTATTCTAAAATTATCACTATTATTAATAATGTTGTCGGAAACAAAAACTGAGTTAACACTGAGAGTGCGCAAATTCTACGTTGCCATCTATAGTACTAGAATCTATTTGGTTTAGGCCAACCTTGTCCACCGGGCAATTTTAAATAGTGGTATGAATTCACAACAGTACCCTTAAAGGGACTGTAAGCATAATTTTAAATGACCCTCAAGTCAAAATGGTAATGCCCGATTCACAACCGTGCCCCCAAAAGCTTTGTTTGATCAAATGTAAATTAGATATCCATGTTTAGAATTTTAAATTTGATTATTTTCGATTTTGGTTTCCCTACGTCAGTAACTTGCGCATTTGTACTGCAGAAAAGCATTTTAGAATTATCATAATTAAACAATTTTAAACCAAGAAAAACGGCAATTTCTTCCACATATTTAATCAAAAATTACATTACTACATTTGCGTAAAGGTTTACTTAAAAATTCGCTTACAGTTTCTTTTAAAGCTTTTCTGGTCAAAAATGAATGTTATATTAACCATTCTATCTTTAAAAGTTAATTATTTTAATTGTGAATTCTTTATAAATGATTTGTGAATCGCAGCTTCAAAAGAAATAACTCTATCTTTAACTACAGCACTTTTAACCTGAACAGAAATTTTTGTATTTAAAACTTTAAATATGAAATTCTTGCCAGCTGATGCTGGTTTTCTCATCCTCAATCCAATTTTAGTTATCAAAAAACCTTATTTCCATGGGAGGATTGATTCTAGGGGGATTGGCTCCAGGAGAATTGACTCCATGGGGATTGACTCCAGGAGGATTGACTTCAGGAGGATTGACTCCAGAAGGATTGACTCCAGGAGGATTGACTCCATGGGGATTGACTCCAGGAGGATTGACTCCAGGAGGATTGACTCCAGGAGGATTGGCTCCAAGAGGATTGACTCCAGGATGATTGACTCCAGGAGGATTGACTCCAGGAGGATTGATTCCAGGAGGATTGATTCCAGAAGGATTGACTCCAGGAGGATTGACTCCAGGAGGATTGA